AGTGTTCTGTAGGTATCAATTAAGTCCATTTGGTCCAGAGTCACATTGAGGTTCCGAATCTCGTTGCTAATTTTTTTCCTAACGATCTGTTGAGGATTGTGAGTTGGGTATTAAAGTCCCCAGTTATGATGGTGTTAGAGTCAATATCTTTCTTTAGTTTTGCTAGGAGTTGCTTTATAAAAGTTGGTGCACCTATGTTAGGTGCATATATGTTTAGGATAGATATTTCTTGTTGATGGAGTGAGCCTTTTATCATTATGTAGTGGCCCTCTGTAACATTTTTAATTTTTGACAGCTTAAGTGGTATTTTGTCTGAAATTAGGATCACGACTCCTCCTTTCTTTTGTGTTCCATTCGCCTGGAAATTTGTTTCCCATCCTCTTACTTTGAGTCTGTGCATGTCCTTTCTGGTGAGATGGGTCTCTTGAAGGCAGTATATTGTTGCCTGGTGATATTTTATTCATTTTGCTATTCTATGTCTTTTCAGTGGTGCATTTAGTCCATTCACATTCAGGCTAATTATTGAAATATGAGAGTTCATCCCTATCATAGAGTTCTTTTAGAGTTGTTTTTTCACTTGGTTTAATGTCTTTCTTTTGTTTTGGGGGTTGGTTCATGTGTATTTTATTCTTTTTCCTGTACTCTTGTGAAAAATGGTGCTCTTTTTTCCCCCCTTTTCTTCTGTGTTTAGTACTTTCTTAAGTGTTTCATGTAGAGGCAGTTTGGTGGTAGCGTAAATTCTTAGGGATTGGATATCTGGGAAAGATTTTAATTCTCCCTTGCTGATGAAGCTTAATCTGTCAGGGTAGGTTATTCTTGGTTGAAATTGTTTATCTTTTAGGACTTTGAAGATAGGGCTCCAAGCTCTCCTAGCCTGCAGGGTTTCTGTAGATAAATCTGCTGCTATTCTAATTGGTTTTCCATGGTAGGTGATCTGACCTTTTTCTCTTGCTGCCTTTAGGATTTTTCTTTTTGCTTACTTTGTTTAGGCAAATTATTATGTGTCTAGGAGTTGGTTTTCTCATTTGTTGTCTTGCAGGGGTTCTCTGGCTCTCTTGTGTTTGAGTTTTTGCGTCATTGATTAGATAAGGGAAGTTTTCTTGAATGACCTCATGGAAGTTTGTTCCAATGTGGTCTCTGTTTCTTTCTGCCTTAGGCAGACCAATTACTCTTAGGTTAGACCTCTTGAGGTAATCACTCATCTCTTGAAGGTTTTTTTCTGTCTTTTTGAGCTTGATTTCTGTGTTTTTGAGAGTTTGGGTTATTTCTGTATTTTGATCCTCAAGCTCTGAGATTCTTTCTTCTGCTTGGGTAATTCTTCTTTCCATGCTTATCAGTTTATTGTTTATTTCATTCACAGTATTCTTTATTACTGTTATCTCAGATATCAGCTCCTTTCTAGTTTCTTCTTGAGTCTCCTCAATTCTTTTTAATCTCTCCATTAATGTCTTGATGTCTAGGGTTGTATTTTGAGTCCAGTCATTCTGGGGGCTCTTCATTGTTTGCATTCCAAAGTCAGTTTTCTCAGTGTCTGCCCTCTCAGGAGTCTGGGAGAGACCCATATTCTTCTTTTGGTTTTTCTTCATTTGTGTAGATTTTTCTCTCGTCCCTTAGTGGATCAAGTTCCTGAGATCTAATCTCCAGCCTCTTCCCTCTGTTTCTCTTGCAGGCAGTTAGCTTGTTTCCTGGGAGATCTGTGACACTGGTCTCTATTCAGCGTAGGGGAGCGGCTTAGTCTCCTGTTAATGATGTCACCGTGGGAACCGAGGTGGAGGCTCTGATAGGTGGGAGGGGCAATGCAATGTAAATATGCCTTGAAAATGGCAGAGGTGGTGGTTTTACTTTCACTTTTAGGGACGCTCCTGTGGGTCTCTAGGTGGGACCAGCTGCACAGCTGGGCACTGGATCTGGGGTGCCTCCAGCAGGCTGGGCTGGAGGAGAGGGTCGGGCGTTCCCTCCTCTGGAGCTGGAAGCCTGTGATCAGCACCCTACACCAGCTTGGGCTTCTGCCCCCTTACACAGGCTTGTGGTCGCACACACTGAGTGCCTCAGCCAGGGTGGGCCTGGGGCTTCCAATCTCCAAAGCTCCAGAGGGTAGGTGGTGGCTCTGGGTCCCTCCCAGGGCACTTTAGCCAGAAATGGGACTGGTATCTCTAAGGGGCGGGTGCTCAGAGCCTCCCTGCATGACTGGCAGCTTTGCTCTGGGTGCTGGTCGAGCCAATGTAGCCAGGGATGGAGCTGGGATCCAGGATTTGGGATTCCCCAGCTGGCCGGAATCACATGTAGTGGAGCAGCCATGGTCAGGCTACAATGTCTGGCCCTGCATGGGACCAAAAGTCCCCAAACCTCATACCAGTGCGGCTGGAGGTGGGCGGGGGGTGGGTACAGGAAGAAAAGTAATAGTCTTTTTGGGAAACTCACATTCGGAGAATCTCAGGGATGCACCTATGTGGTCGCCATCTTCAGGTCACCTCTCAACATGTCTACTTTTCGATTAAAAATTACAGAATGTGCAGGGAAACAAAATATGCATACATACATAGAGAAATGAATGGCCCATAGAAACAGTTCCTGAGAAAACCTAGGCAAATTTACTTGGCAAAGACTTTAAGACAGCTATTTAAAATTTTTTCAAATAAGTAAAGGAAACTGTAATGAACTAAAGGGAAGTGTAAGAATACTGCCTCTTCAAATAGAGAATACAAATAAATAGACAGAAATTATTAAGAAGAAATAGATCTTTACGTGTACAATGACCATTTGTATACCTAACACTGAATTGCACACTGCAGCTCTAAAGTAAACATTAAAAAAATAAGAAGAAGCGAATCAAAAATTTGGAGCTGGAAAGTGTAAAACAGAAATGAAAAATTTATAGGAGGGTCTCACGAGAAGATTTGAAGTGGGAAACAAAAGAATCAGACAACTTCAAGATAGTTCAACTGAGGTATTCAGGCTGAAAAACAGAAAGAAGGGCAAAGAAAAATAAACAGTCAAGACCTGTGTGGCACCCGTAGGCATACCAACATATGCATAATAGGAATTCCAGAAGAAGAAGGGGAAGAACGAATATTTGAAGAAATAATTCATAAAGATGATTTAAACTTGGTAAAAAAAGGATCATTAACTTATACATTCAAGAAGCTAAACAACACTAAGAAGAACAGATTCAAGTAGATCCACACCTAGTCACTTGTAGTCAAACTGCCGAAAGAAAAAGACAAAAAGAATTTTGACAGCAGAATGAAGTGATAGATCACGTACAAGAAGTTCTCAAAATTGTTAAGCTAATTTCTCATCAGAAAACACAGAGACTAGAAGACAATAGGATGACACAGTCAAAATTCTGAAAGAAAAAGGGAGTCAATTAAGAATTCTATGTGCACAGACTTTGTAGCCACTTGGGTGGATTTAGAGTTTATCATACTCAGTGACCTATCACAGAAACAAAGAACAGAGTACCATATGCTCTCACTCATAAGCAGACCTTGAACAATTATCATAGTACTGCAAGAAAGGGATTGGCAGTAGCAGGAAACTGCCAGGGGAAAAGGGATGGGATTGGCAGTTGAGGGAAGCTGCCAGGGGAGGGAGGGGCACACCTCATCAACAAGGGTACCTGCATAATGAACCCTAACCCTAACCTGAATTGCACCCTACATCTTTAAGATTAAAAAAAAAATTTTAAAAGAATTCTATATACAACAAAACTATCCTTTAACTATGAATTGAATTATGAATTAAAATTATGAAAAAAACAAAAACAGAAAATTTGAGACTAGCACATCTGCCCTACAAGAAATAATAAAGGAATTTCTTCAGGCTGAATGAAAGGAAACAAGGTGGTAACTCAAATTCAAATAATGAAATAAAAAGCACCAGAAAAACTAATTATGTAGATAAATGTAAAGGCCAAAATACATGTTTTATGTTTATCAATCTTTTTTTTTTTTTGAGTTGGAGACTCACTCTGTCACCCAGGCTGGAGTGCAGTGGCACGCTCACAGCCACCCCAGCATCGACCTGCGGGGCACAGGTGATCCTTCTGCCTCAGCCTTCTGCCTCAGTCTTCTGCCTGGAACTACAGTCATGCACTACCATGCCCAGCTAATTTTTTTTTTTAATTGTGGAGATGAGGTCTTGCCAAGTGGCCTAGGTTGTTCTCGAACCCGTGGACTCAGGCAATCCCCTCACCTCAGTCTCCCAAAGTGCTGGAATTACAGGCTTGAGGCACCATGCCCAGTCTATGTTTTATGTTTGTAACTCTTGTATTCTCTTATCAGACTTAAACTATAGTTGTATGAATGCATACATACATAGGTAAAAAATATTTATAAATCTTCATCGATGGTCATATGAAATATGAAATTTGTATGATAATAGTAGAAAGTAAGGGGGAAATAGTTATATAGGAACAAAGTGATATACAGATGCAGCTAAAATTTCCTTGTTATGCTTAGTATTAGTCTTAAATTGGTGCTAGAAAATCAGTATTAGGAACTCATTTGCAAGAGTTTAATATTAAAATTTCTTTGGAAAATATGTATTTACTTCTTATTTGTGTTCTTTGAAATTCTCTGTTCCTCTCTCTACCAACAAAATCAAGGAATAATATTTTATTGCATTAGTAAATCTTTACTGTTTGTCAGACTTCAGTGAATTCTATGACTTTCCTCTGGTGGATTATCTTGTTGAATAAGAAAACATCACAACAGAGTACTGGACCCTATCCACTCATTTTTACACACCCCAAGCTTTAGCAACACCATATGAGAAGATTTTTAAAAAGAGAGAGAATGAGAATAAAAATGACATAAGTAATATAGGAGTGGCAGCTTTCATATTTCCATTAAGTATATCAGTATAGAAGTTCATAATAAACCATAAATGTATTGAAAAAAATAGGACCAAGATATATGTCACATGGAACATTATACTTGTATTTTGTTTCCTTGTTGTCTTCAGTTTTCCCACAAAAGTTCTTTGTTTTCTTCCTGCAGCAAGATATTTCCTGAAGGTTTTCCTGAGGAGTTCTCTGTGGCAGCCATGTTTCGTGTACGAAGAAATACCAAAAAGGAACGGTGGTTTTTGTGGCAGGTTTTAAACCAGCAGAATATGCCACAGGTAAGGCACTGTGAAAGGTATGCTTATGAGTTTTTTTTGTGTGTGGTTAGACCAGGTGAATCTTTAAACTATAAGCACCATTTGGGGAGCAGATCTAGTATCTGAATATTCTCTTTTAGAAGAATCATCATCAACAACAACAACAAAATGCCGGTTTGCCATAGTTAGGATCATCTTGCTGAGATCGGTAATAGTAAAGTCTGATAGGTGAGACAGGGATAGTTTTTTTTTTCTTCTAGATTTATCTTTTATCTAAAGATGTTGAACTGCTTTTTCTTCCTAACTGCTTTATTGACTAATTCTACCTCACTAATAACTTCTTCACTTTCTGTCATCTCTGACATTATGTATTGTTTTTAAAGCAATTTATTATTTCATCTGATAATCCTTGGTGAGTTAAGGGTTGAGACCTAAATATTCATTTCATTGATAAAACATTTATGAGACACAAACTATTTGCTAGGTAGTGACAAGATCCAAGACCTAAAAATCAGAATTTCTGCTCTCAGGGAGCATGAGGTCTAAGTTGGCTGACATTTAGGACAACAACATAACACAGCATAATTGCAATACAGGTGAAGTGGTAAAGGTAAGTTTGGTGTTGGGTGGGGATTATGGGACCATAGAAAGGACAGCTCACCAAAGTTGGGGACAGGAAAAGAGGAGTCCAGGAAAGCTTGTGGAGAAGACAGCATTTGGGCTGAAAAGAGGGGGTGCAGGTCCTCCAAGGAGGAGAGATGAACCTCAAAATTACTTATTGGTACCACGCACTTTTGTTTACTTCTAAACATATCCACTGAAATATTTTTAATTTTCGCTGGACTCTAAGTCTGTTAATATTGTCACAATGTTGTGGTGAGAAGATAAGTTGAAGTTAAGTACTATGTCCTCACACTGTGCAAGAGTCATCAAAGGTTAAAGAAGTTGATCTTTCCATGCTAAGGGAAATGATCATATTCTCATTATTAAATTAGTAACCTTGACTCCTTCAGTTACTAATACAGATAATTTATTCATACATAAATATACATTACTTTTTTAATAATTACATAATTTAATTAAAAGTGTATATTTTATATGAAAACAATCTGCATATTTATACTTTTAGATATTCCTTTAAAAGGAGCATATTGTTGAGCCGGGCTCGGTGGCTCAGCCTGTAATCCCGCGCCTTTGGGAGGCTGAGGTGAGTGGATTGACTGAGCCCGAGGGTTGGAGACCTGCCTGGGCAGCCAGACCTCATCTCTACAATAAATCAAAAAAATCACCCGGGCATGGTAGCTCATGCCTGTAATTCCGGCTACTGGGAAGGCTGAGGCGGAAGGATCACTGGAGCCCAGCAGGTCGAGGCTGCGGTGGCTGGGAGCGGTCACTGCAATCCAGTCTGGGCAACACTGCACTCCAGTCTGAGCGGTCACTGCACTCCAGAGTGAGACTCCAACTCAAAAAAAAAAAAAAAAAAGGAGAATATCGTATTCACCAGAATACTCCACATTTAAACCATTTTTGTAGCTGGGTATTGGCTGTTCTTTTAGGTTAACAAACCTGGTGGACACAGGTGCCATCTGAAACATTTTACTAAGTGCTTCGGTTATACTAACATGCATTTTGTGCTTTTCTTTGTGTGTTTAATAATTTTGAACATTGACTTTTAAAACATTTAAAGAGATTTGTTTTTTTTTCAGGTTTCTGTCGTAGTTGATGGTGGAAAGAAGGTAGTGGAATTTATGTTTCGGGACCCCGAGGGAGACGTGTTGAACTTCATTTTCAGAAATCGAGAACTTCGTCATTTGTTCGATCGTCAGTGGCATAAACTTGGCATTGGGGTACAATCTCGGGTCATCTCACTCTACATGGATTGCAATTTGATTGCAAGCCGGCAGACTGGAGGAAAAGACACTGTGGATTTTCGTGGGCGGACAGTTATTGCGGCCAGGGCTGCAGATGGCAAGCCTGTGGACGTAAGTCACGATGCTAGTTGCGAGAGAGAACTGGTAGCATTTCTAACTCAAAGCAAAATATCTTATTAAAAAACACGTTCCTGTAATTACTGCTTAATAGATTTCCTTCTCACCAATTTCATTAATTTAATTAATTTGCCATCAGATGCGTGAAGAATAGCTATGTTATTTCAAACTATACTATTTTCTTTCTATTTCTCCATTTTCTCCAGCAGGTGAATTACAAGATTAGCACATGCTTTAAAAAAAATAAGATAGTCAAGAGTAAATTTCAGTAAAAATTGAAAAGATGATACAAAATATAAGCTTGGTCTAAGTGCATATGTTTTAAATAGAAAGAACTGGAAAAAGATGAATTTTAAATTAAATGATTCCAGATTATCTGATGGTTTCACTCAAGGACAATAGGCTGTTTCTTTTATCCTCACAATAGCAATTGCTTTGTATTGCAGACTATTTTTCATAAGTTTTTTAATGGTTTTCTGGGGTTTTATTGTACAGAAACCGTCACTAAATGTATCAGTAGGTCATTTGAATGAGAAAAATTGATTAGGAAAACCTGTCAAATAAAAAGATCGTTTAAAAAATACATTTGAAACTAAGACAATACAGATATTATTGGTTTTCCTAGAGAACAAATCTTACAATCTTAAAAAAGTGAAATATACCTAAAGTTGATAGCTGTGTGTTTTGGGGTGTCATTATTTATACACTTAGTTTATAGCTTATTTATTTCTTAGTTATTGCAAGAGCAGGATCCAGTCTTGGAGCTCTTGAACCTCAGAAGACTGAGTGTTCCATATTCTGTGTCTCATTAACTTTCCACCCAAGGAAAGATTTAATCCCAGAACTTGAGGTATGTCCTTATAAAAAGGACATAATGTGAAAACCATGGTAGTACAGTGGTTTTACAGTTTATCATGGATTCTTGGTTCATTAGAAGATGAAATTGAAGCTATGTTGCAAATGTGGCTATTTTAGGAGCCAGTCACTGAGTTAAACAAGCAACATACATTTCTTTAAAAAAAAAAAATGATTGGTTCTACTAAAACTTTAAGTAGACTAACTTTTCATCATCCCTATGCAGGCTCTGTGATTCATAAGATCTGCTGCAGTGTGAAATGTACTTGTTTGGGCTGTGTGTTATAAGAAAAAAATTCTCTTGCGTGAATTTTATTTTACATATCCTACCCGTGCGCTTTTGTGAGAAAGTGACAAAACTGATATAAAGTATTTTTTTAAAGTCAAATATTCATTTTAACAAGCATCAGTACAGACTTAGCCCTCAACATTCTCCTTCTAAAGCACGATGTCAATAAAATATTCTAAAGTAATGGATGCATTATGAAACCACGATTGAACTAGATTGACTGTAGCTTCCATGTCATGGGTCTCAGTCAGGTTCTAATCCTTTGAAAATCTTTAGTTAAGTAATATAATTCATATGTAGGGCCTCAACCCAGTGGATGGTATATAATTGGATTTAAATACTTATTGGCTATTTAAATAACAATGATAGTGATGAAATGAGTTTGAGTTAATAGAAATATTAATTAATTGAAGTCACCATTCTTTATTCTACCTAATTAGTATGTTATTGTCAGTATTTCATTAGACTATGTAAGACAGCACACTTAAACTTTACAAATAAAGTTTAACCCTAACAAACTTGCAAGAAATTTAATGTAGTCTTATGGTTTTGCATTGCCTGCAGATGTTAGGCTGAGGTGTTCAAAGTTCTTAATGCTTTCTATGAGTTGAATTGGTTTTTTTCACCTCAGTCTAAAGTAAAAATTGCAGCTTTTTTTTCTCCTTTTCTTTCTTTCTTTTTTTTTTGGTGTTGAGGGTAGAGATTCACAACTAGTTACAAATGTCTGATTTCTATTAGCATACGGTTGGTTATTACAAAGTACATTTGAGTCTTTCTATAGAAAGTATCAATTGACCTCAAAGTCATGCATTATCTGCTCTATTACATTGGGAGAAACAGTCAGACAGAGACAGAGAGAGGAGTGAGAAAGGAGAAAAAAGGGGGGAGGAGAAAGATTGTTTCTAACCTACCTTATATATCAAATACTTTATAATTATTAATTGAATTATTACATTAGTAGTCACAACTAATTTCAAACCTCCATTCAATATCTACATATATAAAGCGTTATTAGATATAACATTTCAGTCCTTAAAGAATTCAAACAGCCTATTTAAGCATTTGTCATATTGATATTTTATCAACAGTCTGCACTATTTTTTTTCCTTAGGTGACAGTTTGATCTTACATTTAAGGGCATCATTAAACTTTCCTTGAGCTACTTTTAATTTCATGTCCAAATGCCAAAAACTTGAATCTACTATGCAAATAGAAGGAATCAATTATTTTTTGTAAAGAGATTATAAGTCTTGCTGAGGATCATACCAATATAACATAAAATCAATAAGTTCTAGAAAAAAAAACTCATGAAATATAGATTAAAAATAGATACCTTTTCTTTCCTTACTGGTAAAAGTGCATCTATCAGTGCCTCAAATAGAGTCTCAAATTACAAAAAGCCTAAAAAAACTACTAAAGTCTTTCCCATCATGTGTCGTAGCTTTGACTATCTTTTCTCCAGAATTTTTTACCTTAAAATGTCCTCATGTTATGGACAGGTTTTATTGTATTGCATTACAATGCCTTTCTTTAATTAAGTACTTCTTTTTATTGTTTGAAACAATTAGCCAAGATTTGCAGTTGCTTTTATGACCTGATTTCCTTTATCTGTGGATTTTTCTCTGCTTCTAATTGTTTCTCAGGTTGTCTATAAAATAATGAATCCTAAATTAAATAAAAACATTAAAATATCTACCAGTAATTTATCTGTATCAGCTTTTCTTTTCTTTCTACTTAAATTACCATAGTTCTTAACTGACTAAGTGTGATTCTCAAAAAACTAATGATGTTTTTATTACTGATTCTTTTAATAGATTGAACTTCACCAACTTAAAATCTACTGTAATGCAAACTTCATAGCTCAAGAAACATGCTGTGAAATATCAGACACTAAGGTAAGTTCATTTTTTTTGCTTGTGGAGAATGAAGAATGTCTCTTATTTTTACTTGTAGAGTCTATAGAGTGCAAACGTAAGGAAGACTGTGTCTTTTGTTGAAGCCAAGTGAGTAATTTATTCCCAGTAAGAAAGCCTTTGGAGCCCTGCCCTATAGTTTATTTTCACAATATAACCCTGAATTTGGAAGATAAATGTCCTCACTTTGAGCTCAACATAATAAAAAGGGATTCTATGCCTTTCTCCCTAATCCATGTTCCAACAATGTTATCACCATTTTTCCAGTTAAAGAAGTTTTGAATCTTTGAAGACATGTTATTCTCACTTATTTCCCTATTCTAACTTGCACCCATGCTGACTAGTTTTCCTTTGTGAGTTATATGCCATCCTCATCTTCCTTTTCCCTGTTACTGTGAAAGTTCACCTTTACCTCATGCCTGGACTGGTGCATTATCACATCAGCTGCCTTCCTTATTCCCAGTCCTTTTTCTTTGCAGCATAACTGGAATAAGCCTCTGAGTCACTGCACTGAGTATACATTCACTGTCTTCCAGTACACACTTGCTCTTCAGAGTCACTGATGTTCTAGATACCGTGCTAAGGAACATGGTTAACAAACATGAATAAGGCCCTTCCTGCCGTCTGTTCATCTTTTTCTTAAGGCCTTAGGTGACTCCCTGTTGGCAACAAAATATAAATGCAGTTCCTTTGCCTTTCATGCAAAATATGTTCTACCTAACTGTATATCAATTACTTTCTTATGCCATCTTCTTTGCTAAGAAAAAGATTAAATTCGATACTCCCTGTATCTGTTATCATATTGGTCATGTGTACTATCTTTTATTACTAGGTATAATTGTATTTGTTTTTAGCATATTTAAGCAAAAATTAGACTCAGTGAGGAAAATTTTACCTTTATAATCTTTTTCACTCCTAGTGCTTTATGCAGAGAAGACAATCATTTGGTTTGTTGACTTATTCACTACTAAAAGAGATAAATGGAACAGAAAGGCGTTTGAAGGGAACTAATTTTAAAAGCTTACAGAAAGAATATGCAAAAAGTAAAAGTAAACAGTGAGAAATACTTTTCCTTTGGATCTTAGATTTTTCTAGATGTTCTATACTTACCATAGTAAATTATATGAAATGTTCAGCAATAATTTACAACTACTGCTGTAATAAATATTGTATTGTTATTGTAATAAATATTTTTAACTTCTGCAGCCCACTTTGGGTAGTATAATAAGAATAAGAAGAAACTTAAAGCATAGCTAAGTCTTTCAAATAGTATACGTTTTGTTTATGTAACTTGGCTTTATAAAACATGTCTCCGATTCAGTTTAGGGCTCTCATTCCAAGCGGAATGAAAGCCAACCCAGTATCTTTCTATAAATATCTAAAAAGATAATTTAGAATGCCAATTTACAGACTTAAAATACCTAAGCTTCTTGGAGCTACACATTTAAACCTTGAAGTTGTTAATTCTCCAAAAGTTTTTTTTATTACATTTTTTAATCTAAAAGTTCTTAAAAGAGTAGCTTTATGGAAAAGTAACATAATTATGCTTCAACATATCTAAATATTATATTCTTGACCAGTAATCTCTGCCTTGTGTCTTTATATAATATATATTTTCAACCAGAATTATTAGAAATGTAAGAAGTATAGTTGATAGATTGAGTGGAGAATGGTTTGGTAATTCAAAGCAGTGACATGAGCTCACACATTATGAACAAAACATTTTAAAATCATGTTTATAAAAGATTATTTGGAGTTAATTTTATTTTCCAATTTATTTTTTATTGCTACAAATATTTTACATACTTATGAGGTACATGTGTATGTTTGTGGCATGTATAGAATGTGTAATGATCAAGTCAAAGTATTTGGGGTATCCATCCCCTTGAGTATTTATCATTTCTCTATGTTGGTAGAAAGTTAGTTTTAAAGAGTAATAAATCAGGTAGGAATTCATCCCCAACTATTGAAAAAATAGCAGAACACTGTATATTTTCCTGCAGATAATTATTTGGAAGGGACATCATCATCCATTTAATGATGAACAGAAAATAGAAATGCTACATTTTAAAAATGAGAATGTATAGTTTGGAAGATAAATAATTGTATACAAGCCATTTAGATGCATCTACTGTACTTCTGATACCAATTGTATATTTTATTTTTTGCAAAATGTCTTGAACTAAAAAATTTAATGTGTTTGTTTGAATACCTAGCATGTTGTTTGGAGTTAATATTTTATGAAGCATTTCAAAAGTGAAATTTATTGAAGATTATAGGCATGCTTCTTTATTTCTATTAAATTAAAATTTTCGGTTTCTAAAGCAGTCAAGTTTCATGACTACAGACACAGAAAGAACGATGAGCACATATGAAAAGAAGCAGAAAAACAGCAACATTTGTTGAAAATAAATGAGAAATGTGATTAAATTTTAAGGGCTAATTAACTGAATATGTGTCAAATCAAAACCAGAGGTTTTACGAGGGGAGGAGTTCTTACTTGTGTGCTTTATGTTGCCTCCAGGCACTTTGGCGAGTGGGAACAGTTTTATAGCGACGCCTGAGACATATTTTTAAGGTTGTTTAAATCCTCAATTTAGTGTAGTGACTCAGTTACCCAGAGAAAAAGTATGAATTTTAAGTGGGTCTTGGTTATCTGACTGGGAACCCGTGGGGCAGGAACTGTCTGAGAGATCACATCAAATCGTATGAAGTGAATGAGCTGTTTTGATGATGATCTTGTTTCACTCTAATGAGCCGTAGTTTCTAGACTTTTGGACCGAGAAACTTATTAGGATAACTAAATCGTTAAATCTGGAAAGAGGAGATTTGAAGGAACTAGTGGTGAAGACAGAAAGCTAGTTGCAGTATTTCTGTGTGCTACTTTTGTTACGGCTTTGATTGTAGTCATAAAAGCATTAGATTACTACTCATTTTTCAAGATAAATGTCTGTTAAAAATGGTATGCATGCTTATTATAGAAGACTTAAAAAATACAGCCAAATTCTGAAAAGAAAATAAACATCAACCACGATATCAATTACAGTAGATAACCACTGATCGGTTTTTAGTTTTTATCCCGAAAATACTTTTCCACACACATATAATTTCAGTATACAGAAAAACACCTGAACTCTTTTTTTTTTGAGTTGGAGTCTCACTCGGTCGCCCAGACTGGAGTGCAGTGGCCGCTCCCGGCCACCGCAGCCTCGACCTGCTGGGCTCCGGCGATCCTTCCGCCTCAGCCTTCCAAGTAGCCGGAATTACAGGCAGGCGCTACCATGCCCGGCTGATTTTTTTATTTATTGTAGAGATGAGGTCTCACTGCCCAGGCAGGTCTCCAACCCGCGGGCTCAGGCGATCCACTCACCTCAGCCTCCCAAAGGCGCGGGGTTACAGGCTGAGCCACCGAGCCCGGCTTAACACCTGAACTCTTTCCCCTAATGCTGTCTTCCTGAAATTGCAAGTTCAGAGTTTTAAACTGTGGTGAGGAGTCTGGTACATGAGGTTGAGAAGAAAGAATGCCTTTATCCTCTTCAGATTCGCCTTCTGGATGAATTTTTCAAAGAAAAATAGTCTATTGCTTTGTAATGAAACTCCATGTTATCCAGTATGTTCTGAACCCACTGAATAAGTATAAAGCTCAGCACTTGTCTGTTTTAGTGGAGAACTTTTTGATATTTTTAAACGACAGTGGACTAGGACAAGGTATATTTTGATTAAATAAATATTTTCTTAGATTGTAAAAAGAATTCATTTGCAATCATCCTCTTAAAGTAAACTCTTTCACAGGTTTAAATGACATGCTCTCACCTTCATTTTTGTTCCCAAAAGGCATGGCCATATATTGTTTGTATAGATTATTTTATTATAACAAAGCAATTACTATAAATATATAGTATTACTGTATTTATAATAAAGTCACCTACTACAACTTTAGGATGTTTGCTACTACAACTTTAGAATTCCTTGCCAAGACCATCATTTTAATATTTTGTGTGTGTGCTGTGGGTGTAATCAAATGTGTCGGCTCAGTGAAAGAGTAAAAGTGTGATACACTTCTGCACACTGGTGTCATGCATTGGTGAATACGAAGGTGGTTCTTACAGGCAGTCTCAGTCATCCCTAGTCAGGTGGGAGCCACATGTGGAATATCAAAATGTTTGGAATAACTCCATGCCCTAAATAAAGCTTCTTTTTGGATTTTAGTGCCCGGAGCTGGATAGCTTTGGAAGCATTGCATCATCATCTATGACCACACATGCTGGGAAAATGTCCGCATATATGCCAGACCAGCAGGAACTTACAGACCGGTGCCAGTGCATTCCGAGCCAGGTATGCTGGTCTTCACCTGCCTCGCCAAAAAGCCATCTCAAATGTGAGCCTGGCTCCCGGAAAGTGGCCTCTGGACACAGAATGTGTCTTGCCCTTCAGTGCTGGTTGAATCAGATACCCCAGTCACTTGAGTGGGCTAAAAAAGGGGGTTGAAGACAGGAGTTTCTAGAGTTTTACCTGAGTAGTCTGAGCTCAACTGAACTTTTTTCAGAGTGGAACTAGAACGAGTAGAAAGGTAAAGGGAGGACCCCTGGCCAACAGGCAAGTATTGAGTTCTCAACGAGTACCGGGAATAGGCTGCAGTTCTGGGGATTCACGGTGAAGGATACTCGATGCCTACCCTTCAAAATACTACACACAAAAATCTCTATTTTTGGTATTTTTGTGTGTGTGTATGTAGACTAAGCTTTTCCAGTATCCCCAAATTTCCAGTCAGCTGCCTCCTCCACTATAAGTTCTGGGGGAATGTGTAGAAGGCCTCTGATGTTTTTCTAAGAATTTATCTCACCAGCCCTAGAAGGTTCCTGGGTCAGGGAAGCTGGGCTGTGGCCCTATCCACACTTATTTTGTGGGTGCCGATGGCAGTCATGAGGCCTGTGCCAAGAGTAGGCTGAGTGGCTTCCTGGTAGATTTCTTCTGTGCACACTTCTGAGGAAAGGAGACTTGTCTCAGCTCCTAGAGCAGCGTGTCCCCAGCACTGTCACCTGGGACATATCCTGATACTTACCCACCCAAGATCACATCACTCATGGGTGAATCAGTGGGGCAGAGATGAGGGGAAGGCTTACAGGAACTTTCTATCCCTAGAGTGGCCTGCCATGGTGGCTTTGTGAGAAAGGTAAGGCCAAGACTTGGAGGCCATGGAACAGCTCGCGTTCCAGCCCCTGAGGCTCCTGGAGGGGAGGATGCCGACTGGTATTTGGAGGAGGGAGAGATATAAGCCTGCAGACCAAGGAAAGAGCATTTCAGTGCAGTGACCACAACAGCCCAGAGAGAGGCAGAGTTCACTGTCACTGGCTTCACATTTATAAATGATTTGGCTTTAGATCCATGTGACAGGATGTTTGCTGACACAGACATTCGCTTTTGCTCAGGGAGAAGCAGGTTTGCCAGGAGATCCAGGCTCACCTGGGCAGAAAGGCGATAAAGGAGATCCGGTAAGACACAGTCGAATACCGTGGGGACTAAAGGGGTGTGTTCCAAAGTGACTTAAATAATGTGCGTGCCTCACTTTTCCATGCTCCGTGCAAATGTATGTCTATAAAAGGCTACCAAAGACTATATTAAGATGCTGATTACTGAAATGAGAATGACCACATCAGCATCAAAGTCTGCTTTTGAGTTCATGTTGGAAGCATGGCATGAAATTCAGAAAGATCTGGAATCACATATCTTTGTCTCTAAAAGCTCTAAGCCTTGAGAGTTTGTTTGGAGGTTCTAGCAGGGGAGCGCAGCTACTCGTATACCCTTGACCGAAGCACGGTCCTCCTCTAGTGGGGATGGTCGTCCTCTTCGACCGAGCGCGCAGCTTCGGGAGGGACGCACATGGAGCGGTGAGGGAGGAAGGGGACACCCGCCTAGCCAGCCAGATCAGCCGAATCAACCCTGGCGATCAATAGGGTGACAGATGTCGCAGCCAGATCGCCCTCACATCTTCCTAACCAGAGACGTGAAAGACCTTTACAATGAAAATTACAAAACACTGCTCAAAGAAATCAAAGATGACATGAGCAACTAGTGAAAAAATATCCCATGCTCATGGATTGGAAGAATCAACATTGTGAAGATGTCCATCTTACCTAAAGCAATCTACAAATTCAATGCAATACACATCAAATTACCACAACATTCTTCTCAGACCTGGAAAAAACAACACAGGAATTCATATGGAAACACAAACGTCCAAGAATAGCCAGAACAATCCTCAGCAAACAAAAAAACAAAGCAGGTGGTATCACATTACTAAACTTCAAACTTTACTATAAAGCTACAATCATCAAAACAGCTTGGTATTGGTACAGGAACAGGCATATAGATCAATGGAATAGAATTGAGATTCCATAAGTAAAGCCTCAATTTCTCAACCAAATCATCTTCGACAAAGCCCCCACCACCTACCACTGGGGAGAGGAGAACCTATTCAGTAAATGGTGCTGGGAAAATTGGCTGACCACATGCAGAAGATTGAAACAGGACCCCTATCTATCCCCATGCACAAAGGTTAACTCCAAATGGATCAGAGACCTAAATGTAAAACCTCAAACCATAAGAACCTTAGAAAAGGAAGGAAATACTCTCATGGAAATCGGAACTGGCATCCAATTCCTGTACAAAACCCGAAACCCACAGGACTTAAGAGAGAAGATAGACAAATGGGACCTTATTAAACTGACAAGCTTCTGCAAAGCCAAAGAAACCATCAAGAGAGCAGGGAGACAGCCTACAGACTGGGAAAAAGTATTTGCCAACTCTAGGTCTGACAAAGGCTTAACATCCTGGATCTACAAGGAACTGAAACGTACTGAAAAGAAGAAAACAAACAACCCCATTATAAAATGGGCAAAAGACATGAACAGACACTTCACAAAAGAAGACATTCGAGCAGCCAACAAACACATGAAGAAATGCTCAACCTCACTAATCATCAGGGAGATGCAAATCAAAACCACACTGAGATACCACCTAACTCCAGTCAGAATGGCAATTATCAACAACTCAAAAAATAACAGCTGCTGGAGAGGGTGTGGTGAAAAGGGAACACTTCTACACTGTTGGTGGGAGTGTAAACTAGTGCAACCTCTGTGGAAAGCAGTGTGGCGATTCCTAAAAGCTCTAAAAATTGACCTTCCATATGACCCTGCAATCCCCCTACTGGGAATATACCCTGAAGAACACAAATCACTCTATAAAAAAGATACCTGCACACGTATGTTTATCGCAGCATTGTTCACAATAGCAAGAACCTGGAAACAACCATGCTGCCCATCAAAAGAGGATTGGATTTAAAAAATGTGGTACATATACACGATGGAATACTATGTAGCCATAAAAAAAGAACAAAATCATGAATTTCACTGCAACCTGGATGGAACTAGAGTCTATAATACTGAGTGACCTCTCACAGAAACAAAGATCTGAATATCACATGTTCTCACTCATATAATGGACCTTGAACATCCAATGCAATACTATAAGAAAATGACTGACGGTACTGGGAAACTATGGGGGGGAGGGACATGGGATTAACAGTAACAAATATCTGTCGGGGGATGGGAAAACACCTCTTATCAACAGGGTGCCTGAATGAAACGTAATTGTACACCTAACCCTTAACTGTACCCCACAAAACCATAATAAAAAATACTGATTAATGAAAAAAATAATATAAAATAAAATAAAAGCTCTAAGCAGAACTGTGAAGCAGGCACATTTACTTTCTAGTCAAGGTCTAGCCTTCTTCTTTTTTTTTTGAGTTGGAGTCTCACTCTGTCGCCCAGACTGGAGTTCAGTGGCCGCTCCCAGCCACCGCAGCCTCGACCTGCTGGACTCCGGGGATCCTTCCCCCTCAGCCTTCCAAGGAGCTGGAACTACAGGCGCACGCTACCATGCCCGGCTGATTTTTTATTTATTGTAGAGATGAGGTCTCACCAAGTTGCCCAGGTGGGTCTCGAACCCGCAGGCTCAGGCAATCCACTCACCTCAGCCTCCCAAAGGCATGGGATTACAGGCTGATGAACTCTTATTTCTCTTGTCTGTTGACAAGTCCCCACTGAAGATTTTTCCTTCACTGTTTACCTTTTATTTTTTTAATTATTATTATTATTATTATTATTATTTTGAGTTGGAGTCTCACTCCGTGCCCAGACTGGAGTGCCATGGTACACTCATGGCCACCCCAGCGTCGACCTTCTAAATTATTTACATAATCTAGTTGAACTCCTTTTATAAATGATAGGAGACTAAAGTCTGAAAGTTGACTCCTCAAAGCTTCAAGAGCTAACATCATTTGACTCCCAAATGAATGTCTGCCTGATGTGCCTTGCAAGGGACTTCTGGTACTCAGTGGGTGTTAGAGAAGAGGTTTGTGAGATGGGATGGGGTATTTATTATCACTCTTTAAATCACATGTCTTGGAGTGCCTTTGCTTTCAATATCATTATATGAAAATTTAAAATAATTAAACAATATCTAGTCTAGGGCTACTTCAATCAAATTCAACATAAAATCATTACAGCAGCAGTGAAGATGTATTTGGTGCTTACCATGCACCAGGCACCAAGGAGAGTGCTGTAGATATGTTCTCTTATCCATTCTTCATGTGAGGAATTAGTGGAACTATTTTACAGGTAGAAATACAAAGGGCTAGGGAGGTTAATTTATTACCCAAGGCCAGATAGCTTGTAGTCAAGCTGGAATCTGAACCGAGGCCTGTGGAATCTTCTTAACCAGTATCCATTTTGCAAGCTGCTCTATATTCTGAAAACATATCAGCGTTATTTATCTGTCTTCTTTCATCAGTGCACCTCCACTTTTAATATCTTATCCTTAAAACCTCATAAAAATGTCAAGCTAATATTGTTATCCTCAGTGTGTAGCTCAGAGACCCACATATAGATAAAATGATGTGACCAAAGTAACACAATTAAGAAGATTCTTAAGGTAGAGTGATCTCTGGGTTCATCCCAGCTTTTCTCTGATTAGCAGTGAACTTGGCCAAGCCACCCAGACTCTCCAAGCTTTATTTTCCAAACCTATAAAGGAGGGTGTTATCATTTATGCATTCTACCTACTTCACAAGGTGACACAAAAGTGCTTTGAAAAGATATCCATGGCTTAGTTGTAGGTGATTGCAATGTGATAACACTTTCACAAACACATTTCTTAACTTTTTCTTCAATTTGCCAATTCTAGTATAATTCAGATGACTGGCATAGGGAGAAATTTCACATGTGCTGGTTTTTAAAGTAAAATACTTTAAAAATACCTTGTACATTAAAAAACATGTCAGAAGTATGGTCTTATTTGAATAATTATTCAAAAATCAATAAATCATCTTTAAATTATTATTTTTTAAAAATTAGGTACTTAGTCACTCTTGTTACATCCTGTAGTTTTGTTTTTGTTTTTGTTTTTGTTTTTGAGTTGGAGTCTCACTCTGTTGCCCAGACTCGAGTGCAGTGGCCGCTCCTGGCCACCACAGCCTCGACCTGCTGGGCTCTGGCGATCCTTCCGCCTCCGCCTTCCAAGTAGCTGGAACTACAGGCGCGCGCTACCACGCCCAGCTGAGTTTTTGATTTATTGTAGAGATGAGGTCTCACCAAGTTGTCCAGGCGGGTCTCGAA